CGTGGAGGGGGAGGGGCTGCCGGCGCGGTCTGATCGCCGCGGTGGTGCCGGCCCGGCCCTCGGGCCCGGCCCAGCCGGCGTGGTGCGGGCGGGGCAGACGGGGACGGGGCAGACGGGGCTGGCAGCGAGCAGCACGCCGGCAAGCCGACCACTCTACACTCAGTCCGCGACCGAGCGTGGCCACAGCGTGGCAGGGTAGACGCGCGCCGGCAACTTTGCAGCGCCTCGAGAGTACGCGAGCCGCGAGGACCCCGTCGAAGACCAGTGCACCACCGCGTCGTCCCGAACCGAGGGCCGCTCGCGGATCCTGGATGCTGCCGATCGCCGCTGAGGGCGCCGCGAAGACGCCGAGCACCACGACGACGTCGTCGTTCCGCCCGCGACAAGGACAAGACCGCCTCAGGGCAGGTGTCGACTGACGACACACCACTCGGAAGCTTTGGGTGAGTAAGGGCGACTGGAGATGGCTATGTGGAGAGGTCCGCGGAGAGGACCCGACAGCTGTCACACATACGTCAGCGAGCGCGGCGGCGCGCGGCGTGGCCCGGTCCTGCGGGACGGGTATATCGAGTCAAGCCCAGTCAAGCCGCAGCTTCGCCCGCTTCGCCAGCCACGCCGGAGCCACGCGTTCCCCGAGTGCTCGCTTCCCCTCGCCCCGCGGTCCCCGCGGACCCAGGACCAAGTCCGGTCTCGCGGTCCCCTCCTCCCATGTGTGCGCTCAGGCAGCGACATGGTCACCGCGTCCCCTACCAGCGCAACGCGTAGCCCGGGCGCCGTGGCGGAGGCACGCGTCGCTTTGATAAGATTGGATGAGTGCAATCACGCACCGTGATCGTCAGCAGCGGTAATGGGCGCGCCGAGTTGAGACGCGTGAGGTGATGGCTGTGATAGCCAGGGGGTTGCCGTCGTCAAGCTTGATAGCCAGGGGCCTGGCGCAGTGTAAGCTCGATAGCCAGGGGGCTGCTTGATAACCAGGTGGCTACCACAGTTAAGGTTGACAGCCAGGGGGCTGCTTGATAGCCGGGTGGTGGCTGCCGCCGCGTGGTCTTGACATCCCGTGGGGCGGGAGGGGGCCGACCGCGGGTGAAACCTTAGCCGATAAGGAACCGCGGTCGGCACCGTCAGGTCAGGCTCAACAGGCTGAACCTACTGGTACACTGACCACGTGCGGTTTTACGGCTTCGGCTTCGGTCGCCTCGGCCGTCATCAACGTTGCCAGGGGCGGGAGAGACTCGTCGGGAGAGCGGTTGATGGGCGGGCGAGGAGTGGAGGAGGATGGGGGTGGGGGCGATGGTGCGTTTTGGGAGGCCACCACCGTATTGGATGACTTTGTCGAAACCCTTGAGATCCCTCGCCGTCAGGGTCAAGGGAGAGGAAGGGGGAGGGAGAGAGGACAGAGATGGGCAGAGTGAGAGAGAAAGTTTGAGAGCGAACGTGACAAGGTCAAAGTACCATTGTAAATAATGCACAGAGTCCGATAGTGTCCCTTAGGAGGAAGAGCTGCCGGGTCACCCGT